GCAGGTGGCTGCTGCTGAGCTGGGACCGCCGGCAGGTTCATCTCTAAATGGGATCAAGGTTCTCCCAGAGCTCCTGTCTCCGGAGGGTTTGATGAATGGGGTGAAGGAGGATGACACACAGCTGCCTCGGCTTCCTTTTTATTAACATCCGCGTTTGTTTTTCAAGTATCACTTTCCCTTTTCTGTTAGGTGGGAACTTTCCACTAGGCTGAAGATCCAAAAGCTCCGAGCGTCTCCTCGGCCGGCTCTGCCTGACGTGCTGGCAGGAGCGTGACTGTGCCGTTGGTGTCAAGGACTCGTGCTAGACCCTGCTTCCTGCAGCGTCCCTTCCTGCCTTGTCACCAGTGCCGAGGGGGGACTTGGAGCTTTGCTAACTGGGCAGCTGTGGATTTCTGCCCAGTGGGAGGGACTGGGGAGCTCTGTGCCCTTCTGCCCAGAGAGGACAGTGCTGTGGGACGGGGCACCTGCAGGCATCTGCCCCATGCAGCCCCGCCGGAGCGATGGAGGGGTTGAAAGCTTCAAAGGACCTCAGGCTGCTCGGCCTCTTGGTAGACAGCAAAGTTTTCCTACTGGCCCTGCCTCGCTGGTTCCTAACTTCCATGAGAAAACGCAGGAATGTGTTTCCCTCCCTCCCTCTGCTGTGGTCTGCCCTGATTTTGCACCGAGGCGGAGCAGGGCTGGGCAGCAGCCTCCCGCCCCGTCTCCGCGGGGGCTGGGGTCGCATCACGCAGCATGCGCCTTAAACAGACCTGACAGCGGCTCTGGAATCCCTCCCGGGGGCAGAATTTCAGGAAATCTCCCGGCTGTACGCGTGCTCCCAGCCTCTCAGGCTCCCGCAGCCTGCCACGTCCACATCGATCCCGACAGACGTCCCTGTCACTCCCACCGAACTGGGCAGAGGTGGCGGAGTCCCTCCTGCCGGTCGCAGGGATGTGTTTTTGGGAATGGCTCAGGGCTCAGGGCCAGCAGAGGCTGTTTCAGGCGAGGATGGGGACGAGGTGCCCCAGGGGGAGATGTCAGACCCCCCTCAGTGAAGCACCCGAACCGCCGCCGCGCTTGCCCTGGCTCTGGCTGGAGCTGGCACCGGCGAGGAGGCCAAGCGGCAGAGGGCAGGCGGGCAGTGGAGGAGGAGGAGGAGAGGCCACCACAGGCAAATTACAAACTCTCCACCATAAGAAGCCGTGCAGGGTAATGAGCAGTGGGTTTAATGGAGTGAAAGGACTGCAGTGTGAGCATCTGATAGTCCCCTCTCTCTCTCCCTCTCAACCAGGGGAGCAGAGATTGAAGGAGCTGCGGCAGGAAGGAGCAGATGTCCCGCCTGGCACCATTGAGGACTGGCTGGAGAAGAGAGCAAAGAGACTGAGTGTGGCTCAGAGCAACAGGTACTGGTGGCCAGGAGCTTCTGGCCTGCATGGCGCGGAGCGGGGGTCCCACAGGAGGGGTGTGCCTGGGGTAGGAGAAGGCACAGGTGATCAGAGGTCCCCCATGATGGAACCCTGAGCTCTCATTTCACACTCGGCCTGCCAGAGCTGCGTGCCCGCTCTTGGCACATGCGCCAGACACACGTAGGGATCTGGTCTCGCTCGCCTGCATCAGAGACCCTCCCCGTGTGCAGGGGGGACAGGCCGGGCGCTGCTGCCTGTGGCTGCTTCCCTGGGGAAGGCGGGCAGAGGGGGGGCCTGTGCTCTCTGCGGAGTGCACAGACACGCCTGGAAGGACAGTGCCACCGCGGTGCTGAGTTCCTAACGCCCGGAGCTCAGTGGCAGGAGCCCGATCTTATCTGTTGACAGCTTCTCCATCCTCTGCCTGCACATCTCTGCCAGTCCCTGCCAGTGAGAGGGTGGAATTAGCTCCTCCTCACGGCATTCGTTCCCATTCGATTCGGACGCCCGCCGGTGCCTGCTGTTTCCTTGCTCACCTGACTGTGCCGCAGGCTTAATTGGATGACATTTGGGCAGGTGCCAAATCTCCCTTTTGTTCTTCTTCTGTTTGCTCCTGTCCTCTCTGCGTTTGGTCTGGGCAGGATCTTCCTCCCGCCGCTTGCCTGGGCTTGTTGCTTTCCGTTCGCTCCGGCCATCAGCTCGGCTCCTCCCAGCCTGGCAGCGGTGCTCAGCAACAGCCGTGACCTTCCTCCCCCCCATACACTTCACTTGCCCCGTTTTGCTTGTCCTGCCCATGAATCCCTTCATCTTGGGGTAGATCATCTCTTCCAGAAGATAGCCATCGCCGTACCCAGAGGAATTTCTGGACCTTCGTAACTGTTTGGTCCCTGCTGCCTCCAAAAATGCACACAACCTGGGATTTGTAGGGTTATTCCTTTCTGCCCAGCCTCTCTGCCTCTGCAGGCCCCGAAACCGCCTTCTGCTGGAACTAAACACCAACTTTTCAAAGCTTCTCTTCCTCTATCTGGCCCCACTGATGTTTGTCCTGACAGTTTCTCTTCTCCCTTTGTGCTCTCCAGCTCCAGTTGCCCTTCCGAGCAACTCTGTTTTGCCAGAGGAGTTGGTTTGCATTGCCAGGGAAGAGGGGCTGTTTTGGGCAGATCCCCGTGCTCCTGGTGCCTGGGAAGTCTGTGTTCCTCCTGAAAATGCTTTTAAGGACAAGGAGCTCCCTCCCATTCCTGCAGTCCTCGAGGTGCCTGAAAGGTGGCAGAATTTCTGGCAGGGTTTAACGCTACTTTGGGGGATTTGTGCTTTCGGATGATAACCTGCCCAGCGGCTGCCTTGCCGGGCTGGTAATGCCAGTAAAGACCATTAGTCTGCACAAAACAGTAGAGAAAGTGCTCTCGAGGGTAGTGGGCTCCACAACGGGATGCTGGAGACCCAGCTCCACCCATCTTCTCTGGCTGCACTGAGTAGGAAGGACTCAAGCTGGGATGGAAAAGGTCCTTGGAAGCGTGATGCTCCCGAAGTGTGACGGGAGGATGTTACTGCGTTACTCAGCCTGCGAGCGTAGCTGAGCTGCTGCCTCTGCCTTTCCAGAGGCTTTCTAGCAGGATACCTGGCAGGCAGTCACAGGTGGAGCTACTGCCTGGCGCCGTCTCCAGGCACGCTGCGGTGCAAAGAAAATGCCACGCTGGGCTGGAAGGAGCCGTGTGGCCAGGTACTGCCTTGGCTGGAGGGTGGCACTTTCTTAAAGGCAGGAATTTGAGCATCACTTCTGACCATCACCTAAATTAGCCCCAGGGTTGGAGAGTCACCATGCTGCCTTCCCCCTGTCCTTCGTGCAGCCGCTCTCCCGGCCTGGCTGGGCTCAGAGGGACAATCTTCATTTAGAAGCTTCCACTCGATGCGTATGTTCAAAGTCATGCTGTGCCATTGCTTTCTGGAGAGCTGGGGTGGAGTTGGATGGAGCACTTGTAGTTCTTCTAGCAGTGGAGCTCTGCCAGGGCCTGATTGATTTTTTTTTTTTTTTTTTTTTTTTTTACCTGATTTCCAAAGGAAATGGAGCATGTCAGTGCACGTGAGCGTGTGCTTCTGCTGTAATTGCTGTGGGGCCCACTTACTGATTTCCATCAGAAAGGGGTCTGAAGCCTCAAAGGTACTGAGATACTACAGGTTTCCTGAACGTGAAAGTGGGTAGAGGAGAGGGATCCCATTAATACCTGCCGAAAGGCAACATTCTCGACCCTTGCTCAACGCTGGAGAATCCACCTGGGACAGCCATTGGGAATGCTCCAGCTGTAGGTGAACCTTTGATAGCACTTGTAGCTTCTGAGACCCCGGGGAATTGAGTACCCAGACAGCGTCGTCCCTATCGATTAGTTCTGCTGCTGGCAGAACAGCTCATTAGTTGATAGCTGCGCTGTTCCACCATGCAGTGTGCCTCCTCCTCCTCCTCCTCCTCCTCCTCCTCCCCCTCCCCACCTCGTCTGCTTCCAGGGGCTCCCGTGCCCGCCTGGGTGCCGCTGCCCGGACGTAACAAAAAATTTCGCTGCCCCAGAGGGGCTTGGTGCGTGTCCCAGCGGTCTTGTCTCGTCCCCGGCTCTGCGGAATCCCCGTCGAGGGGCTAAGCCGCAGACCGAATGACTTTGCTCTGTGCTCCTTGCCTGGAAAACACGGCGCTCGGCGTCTCCAGCTTTTGGCCGCGGCGGCGGCCCTGCAGGGAGAGGAGGGTGCTGCTTCTCCGGAGCATTATGTAAAGGAGTTTGATTAGATTTCTCCTGGCATAACAATTAAAAAAGATTCATCAGGATCAGAGAGTGGA